AAAAAAAAAAATGTAGGGTGGCACCTGTGGCTCAAAGGAGTAGGGCACTGGCCCCCATATGCTGGAGGTGGCAGGTTCAAACCCAACCCCAGCCAAATACTGCTTAAAAAAATAAAATCTAGGAGGGAAGTAAAAAATATTTTCTCCTCCCTGAATAATGGAGGTATTACTTTCATATGTAATCATAATCATTAAAATATGATATAAAATTAAAATATCAAATTATTAACAAGATAGTTGACAATCTTTTGTGTGTGTATGAACCAATTCTTTTCCATCCAGTGTGTATTTTACACTGATAACACATGTCTATGAAGCCAACCACCTGTCAACTTTCAAAGGCCATGAGTCTTGAGTTTGTTGCATTAGACAGCAAAGGTGTAAAGGAGGAGGAAAAAGTTCAATCCCATAATTTAGAGAAGAGTTTGAAAGTATTTTCCTTATAAAAACTGTTTTCAAGATAATCAGGTTTTTTTTTTTTACTATTTTTTGTAATTTTTATTTATTTTATTTATTTTTATTTTTATTTTTGGCTGGGGCTGGGTTTGAACCTGCCACCTCCAGCATATGGGGCTGGCGCCCTACCCTTTTGAGCCACAGGCACTGCCCCTGTTTATTTTTATTTTATTTTATTTTTATTTTTTGCAGTTTTTGGCCAGGGCTAGGTTTAAACCCGCCACCTCCAGCACATGGGGTCAGCGCCCTACCCCTTTGACCCACAGGCACCACCCTATTTTTATTTTCAACTTCAGATTAATGTGAGGGTCCAAACAACCAGGTTACAATGTTTGCATTGGTTAGATAGAGTCCCTCTTGTAGTTGTGTTCTGCACCCAGGAGGTATGCCATATACCCGTACATTGTGCGCATTGAGTGAGAGCACACCAGTCCCTCTCTCTCCTCTTCTCTCCCCACTGTCTCATTTTTCCTTCCGTCAACTTGGATCACAGTAAATTTTTCTCTTATGTGGGCACATATGAGATTATTTACTGGCTTCATATTAGTATTGGGTACATTGGTGCGGTGGCTCACCCCTGTAATCCTAGCACTTGGGGGTTGAGGTGGGTAGATTGCCTGAGCTCAAGAGTTCCAGATCAGCATGAGCAAAAGTGAGACTCCATCTCTACTAAAAATAGAAAAACTAGCTGGGCATAGTGACATATGCCTGTGGTTTCCAGCTACTCAGGAGGCTGAGGCAAGAGGAAGGCTTGAGCTCAAGAATCTAAGGTTGCTGTGAGCTATGACACCACAACACTCCATGCAGGGTGATAGAGTGAGACTCTGTCTCAAAAAAAAAAAAAAATCAATGAAACTCGAGAAGTGTTAGAAAGTATAATTCGTCTTTGATTAAAATTAGACAATCGATTTTTAACAAATTGCTTTTCCTCCCTTGTTTCTTTCTCCTTGATTTCTAGCTGATGTACTATCTTCATTCACTGAAGTTCACAGCCCATGATGGAAGGACAGTAAACATTGGTCAAAATGGAGATTTGACTGGTTACTATGATATCCTGAACTGGCAATTAGATGATAGTGGAAATATTGCCTTTGTAAAGGTTGGAGAGTATGTATTCACAGATTCTATGTTTGAACTGGTGATCAGAAGAAACGCCACAATATTTTGGAACACTGAATCGTCAGAGGTTAGTTATTCTGATGGCACGTTTTCTTCACTTATACAGAGGATTGTATTTCTGTGCTGTTTCAGGCATTAATGGAATATCAAACACCTCAAGTTGGCCATTCCAAAGCAGGTTTTGTGTGTACAATACCTACTTCTTCAATAAATAGATTCAGATCTTCTGCTTTTGAAACATTTTCTGGGATTATAGTTTTAAATATTAGTTTTATTACTTTGTCTTTTTCAAGTACTCCAACCATACTTATGTTTGAACTCCTGTGTATTTTATTCCACCCATTTTCTCTGTGATCATTTTTGCCTTTAAAAGAAACCTCATTTTTGTTCCCTTAGTTGTTTTCTCACCTTTATTCATTTTAATTATTTAAATTAATTTAATTTTTCCATTAAAATTATTAAACTTATTTTAATAATTTTTATTAAAAAATAAAAAATATTCGATTTAAATTATTAAATTTTCATTCAAATACATTCTCTTTGAGACCTTGTAAATTTTATCTTAACTTATGAAAATTTTTTTTAATCTTTACCTTTAATTTCCTGTGTCAAATAAGCTTTGTTTTCATTTCTTCCAATATTACACCTACTTATGTTTTTAATTAAAAAATTTCTGGCTCAAGATAATTTTGCACGTTTCCAGTGTTTTTCTGAGAATATTTAATTGTCTTTGAAATGCTATGTTATAGTAATAGTATTCT